TTAAGGAAAGAAGGAATATAATAGAGAGAGAGGTTAAAAGAGAGAAGAATGATTTAAAATCGAATATCGATGTGAGAAATAGTGAGGATGCGCCCTCCTTATATAAGAGAAAGTGTGCCACAAAAAGAAAAACGATACGTGAGATTTGTAATGCTCATAATCGCTTATGTGTACCAATAATATATTATGTAATTTAAAAATGGAAAATTTTCAAACTGTGTCGCTACTAATTACTATCAACCCTAATAATCAATTATGAGGCATTATAATTGAGATAATGGACTAAGCTTATTGGATTATCGATTATTTAGTGTACATTTCCCTCATAATTAATTATTTGAGTTTGTAATTAGCTATAAGCAAACAAATATTTTTTGTGAGTGTGAGAGAGTTTCCTTAGTAACTTATGAGTTACTCCACCATTTTACAATACCCTGGTCACTCAGACAATGCACAAAGTGCATGACCGACCAGTCGAGCTTTCATACTTTCTATCTTTCACAACTTTGAAGCTTCAAATTCTTTGACACTTATCTTTGACTTTAGCACTTCAAACTTGAATCTTCTCTCTAATGAGGCTTGAGATTGCTTCAAGATGAACACCATCATCAGAGACAACTAGAAGAACATCACCAGAGATCAACTTGATCAAGCACATGATAAATTATCATGATTCCACCAAATATCATAGTCATCATCAAAATCATTATGATCACTCAAAGAATCATGGCATAATCAATTATAGTACCTACAACCACATAGATCCCACAATTGACATAATAAACTTTTTGTTTACATTGTTGAAACAAAAACTCTTAATACAAGAATTAAACAATATGATATCAACCAGTAACCATGATAGTATATTTCCATTTAAAACTGCATAGCATTTGTTATTAATCATTACTCGAATAATTCAATATGTATCTCGTCTATAGTCGTTGTGAGATAAATCACTCACACCTCAACAATCTCCTCCTCAAATATTATTTACATGTGCATTGTTATAACAACTAATAAAATATGCCTCTTGACTACTCCATCAAGAAGATTTTAAATACGAGAATCCAATATAATCACATCCACCCCCATCTTATTACACCAAGATTATTATTTGAAGAGAAACACACAATTTTTTTATAAAAATATAATCGCAACCCAATAATTTAACCAAAAAACTCCAAAATAAAAAACTAAATCTGTAGGAACTTGAAACTACGAGATTGATGAATAATGGAGAGATTAGAGTATGGAGAGGGAAAGAGATAATTGAGAAAGAGATAATTTATGGTGAGAATATTTCATTATTATTGATGAGGATGCCACCAAGACATTTATACAAGTATTACACAATGATTGGAAAAGAATTTATATAATCCAAATAATTGAAAAAATGAAAATTTGGGTCTATAACCGGTTACACTAAACCTGTAACCAGTTATAGCTTAAACATAATAAATTTTCTTTCAGCGGTAACCGGTTACGTGATTACGTTAACCGGTTACACCCACGATGTTTTTCCTGTGTCTTTGGATCATAAGTGACTATTGTGTTGCTCTAACCAGTTAAACCCCCATGTTAATCGGTTACAGCACTTGAATTGCCACAAATATTTTTAACTTACCACCTTAATTCAAGTGTTGCAAGTCTTCCATGCCCATGTTCATCTTCAACCTCTTTAACACATCATTTGTGACTCCCTTAGTCAACAAATCAACCATTTGATCTTCACTTCTACAATATCTAAAATCTTAATCTTCCTTCGCTAACAAGTTCTCTCAAGTAGTGGAATCGCGTCTCAATGTGCTTGCTCCTATCATGTGCAACTGGGTTCTTAGAAAGATTAATTGCATAAACATTGTCAACTAGGAGCGTAACAGCCTCACCCTCATTGCTTCCCAACTTCTTCAATAGATTCATTAGTCACACACATTGGCACATACATAACAAAACAACAATGTACCCGGCCTCACAAGACGAGAGTGCAACTACCGGTTCCTTCTTCAAACACCATGCATTTGGTGTTCCACCAAACATAAAGATGTACCCTGCTGTAAACTTTCGATCATCTTTATCTTCGCACCAATTAGAATCGGTAAAACCGAGCAAATTGCATTTTCTGCCCATATTCGTTGCTGGAAAGAGAATTCCACAGGAAACAGACCCTTTGACATATCATAGGATCCTCTTTATTGTTGCAAAGTGGGACACCTTCAGTCTCCCCGTGAATCTACTCACAGAGTTATAACTATCATCAGAGTGATACCTACAAGTATCATCATTTTTCCCTTATCCTCTAACTTCTTTCTAAGCTGCCCCGGAACATGTCGATACAGTACGGAACAAAAAAATCTTAAATGCTTCAGATTTGGTTTGAATCTTAACCTTGCTTCCTATGGTGTTACCTTCTCAATCTTATTTATTAGACATTTATTCAACAAATAGTAAGTCGTAGATACCGCTTCTCCCCATAACTCTTTCAGTGATTTGTTCCCCTTTAACATGTTTTTCACCATGTTCATGAACAATTGATTCTTTCTTTTGGAAACACCATTTTTCTGCGGTGTATAAGGTGGTACAACCTCATGGATAATCTCTTCTTGATTACAAATCCTCTCAAAGTCTTTTAAGACATATTCGCCTCCATCACCCATTTTGAGCACTTTGAGTTTGTGGCCGTTTTGCCTCTCAACCACGGACTTTAACTTCTTTAATACTTCAAATACCTCATCCTTTATCTTGATTAGGTATGTACATATCTTTATACTATGATCGTCGGTAAATGTGACAAAATATATATTGTCACCAATGGAATCTACTTGCATTAGTCCACACACATCCAAAAACACCACCTCAAGGTGATTCTTGGCTCTACAACTTGTATCCTTATTGAATTTACCCTTATTTTGCTTTGCTTGCACGCACTGTTCATAAATTTCATCCAGTATGTTGATTAGTGGAAACCCTGTTATCATTCCATTATGTTGTAAGTCTTTGAGATCTCGGAAATTGAGATACCCAAGACGATAGTTTCATATCCACTTTTGTCGACTTGCTGCTATAGCAAGACATCTATGAACCATAACCTTTAGCTCATCTTTGAAGGTTCTATTAGAAGGCATATGAGCTTTAAGGACCAAAACCTTATTTGCATTATAACGCGCAACCCCTTGTTTTTCATGTGAATCTTGTAACCCTTCTTAAGCAATTGGTCAATACTTAAAAGGTTACATTTCATTCCTGGAATGTAAAATACATCTTTGATCAAGGAATATCTATCAACCCTTCTCATGATCATAACATCCTTGATCCCATCAGCCGTTAAAGTGGTGTCATCCACGAACTTCACTTTGTTATTCATAACACGAATGATTTTAACAAACCAATCCTTCCTCCCTATCATATGAGTAGAACACCCGAAATTCAAGCACCATTCTTCGCTACACTTGACTCCTTCTCTCATAGTCACCATGACATTTTCTTCTGCATGTAACCGGTTAACACTTTCATGTAACCAATTACAACCTATTTTTACAGCATTCCCAGAATTGCTGCTACTGTTGTCCCGCAGCCTGCTGATACTGCATTCTCCTTTCGTGATCATGATCAAGAGTGTATTCTCTTTGTCAAACTCTTGTCTTGAAACCTTGGTTTCATCTCCTTGAGGTTCCTTCTTGTTCGCGTTGCTCTCTCTTGCAAAATAAACAAACCTTTGACACTTAAAGTACTATTATTTGCTTTTGTCAAACCTCTTCTTTTCACCTCTAAAGTTATCTTGACCATCATTTTTGTTTCAGCTGCTCTCACCCCTTTGACAACTAGAATTCTTGACATTTTGGGATTCTCTTTCACCTAAATTTTGAAAATCTCCTTTACTCTTCGTGGGTTATTTTCCTTTTAATCTCTTGTTCTTCTCGTTGAAGCGAGCTTGCAAAGAGATCTCCACCTTTTCCTTATCACGATTTCTCTCCTCCATCCTTTGCCCATGAATCTCAAGAGAGCCTTACATCTCCTTTTTGCTCATCGTTGCAAGATCCTCGATTCCTTATGTGTTGCTTGATGTTCATTTGTTGCACATTTGACAAGAGGATTCACCCCCATTCTTGATCATTTCATGAACATCTTGGTAGCCAAACAACATTTTCATTTGTTTGCAGTATTTTTCGTAATTGTTCGCATCAAGGATGGGTAGGTTTATAGGAATTCTTTCGTTGGATACAAAATTCATGTTTGCACACTAGGTGTTTGTGGATCAGAAACAGACTCTTGATGCCAAATGTTGGAACTTGGAACCACAAGGTTACTGAATAATAGAGAAATTGGAGTGTGGAGAGGGTGAGAGGAAATTGAGAGAGAGAGAGAGAATATTAAGGAAGAGAATATTTCATTATTATTGATGAGGATGTCTCTCAGGCATTTATACAAGTATTACACAATAATTGAGACACAATTTACATAATCCAAATAACCCATTACAATTGACACAAAATAAATTCTCTTTCAATGATAATCAATTACATGATTGCGTTGACCGATTGTGACTATTATCTTTCTGTAATTGATTATACTTTTGTGTTAACCAATTACAACACTACTTGTATAAAAAAAAAATACTTTTAACAAAATCTACATAGTCATTGTTTAATAACATTCAAAATGTAGAAAATATATATATATATATATATATATATATATATATATATATATATATATATATATATATATATATATATATATATATATATATATATATATATATATATATATATATATATATATATATATATATAAATTGTAATAGTATATAATATATGAAATCATACACATTGTAATAATTTATACAAAGTTTGTCTTAGACAAAAGTTGAAAGCTACTACTACATACTTGTTTGGGGATAAAAACTACAACAATCTAACCCATGCTGTCTATATAATATAACTCACACAACACAACGACTAAAACTACATGTTTTCTCTCACTCACTCACTTATTGTGCAAAGATGCCAAGTCTATTTTCTAAACAACTCCACCTCTGTTTTTTCAAGCTCAAATACCCCACAATTCTCTCCCAACCTCACTCACAACAAACTACTACTCCATCACCATCACCACCTTACACCTTCCATTTCAACACAACCTTCACCCACCACCACCACCAAGAAGAAGACTATTTCTCCGACGACACCACGGAACTTCCACCTCCCGACTTCGCCTCCGTATTCGCATCCCAACGATTCTTCTTCTCCTCCCCCGGCAGCTCCAACTCCATCACAGAATCAGAGTCTCCCCCCGACAACACTACACCCTACAAGTCGTTGATACCAATGGAAGGTAGCGTGAAAAGGGTGCCGAAATACTCTGTAAACCCTTACGTCGATTTCCTCCGTTCTATGCATGAAATGGTTCAATCTCAACAACATGTGTTCGATGTTACTAATGATTGGGATTATCTTCATGAGCTTCTCTTATGTTACCTTGCTCTAAATCCTAAACATACTCACAAGTATATTGTTCAAGCTTTCACTCACCTCCTTGTCGACCTTTTATCTTCCTCCTCATCTTCATCATTCTCCTCTTTGCCGCCACCTTCACCACCTTCTCAAAATATCAATAACAAACTCTGAAATGGTAGTTTCTTAGTCAGTTACCGCTCTCACTTTTTTTTAGTTTAGAATAATTTTAGTTATTAGTGTTAAGAATAATCTATTTTTTTGGTAATGAAATAGCGTTGGGTTTTGGCTATGGGAACACGATTTGTATTTCGATGACAAACATAAGACAAAGGTAGCAAAACCAATGGGGTGTGTATGTATGCGTTGGAGAAGGGACATTGTTGTGGTTTTTCGAAGTTGTTTTGTTTTATTATAAACTATTATTGTTGTAGTGTAAAATAGTGCTGTTTGTTTTCAGTTATAGGGTTTATTATTTATTTATTTTTTATTTACTTGGAATTCATTGTATGACGTTATTGGTGGAGATCGTGGGTGACAAACAGAGTTCGGTTATTGTCCTTGTGTTTGTTGGTGCTGTGTGTGTGGTCCTCTCTGTGAATGTTGGAAGAGAGATTCTGCAAATAGCAAACAAACTTGCAACAAGGTTGGGTTTCTTCTGATGTGGTAGCAAGGTACAATGGTGGGGATTAAATAATGAATACAACTCATACATACATAAAGGGATAGACATATACTAGTACTCAACAAGTTAATTAGCTCTAGGCTCAAGAAAGTTCTTAGCTATGTTAAAGTAAAAAACTAAAGAAGTTAATAGTACTTTAGAGCATCTCTAACCCAAAGTTGAAATTGAGTGGTTTAACCTAATTTTAGACTTTTAAGAAATTTAGTGAGATTTCATTTCAATGGTAGTGTCTTAGTAAAAGAAATTATGAGTGTAGTTTGACCATATTAATTACTACTCCTCCCAATTTTTATTATAATTTTTATTATAATTTTTATTAAAAAATAATTGTATTAAATTATACTCTTTCCGTCTTAAAATAAATATCACATTTGAAAAAAATATTTTTTATAAAATAAATGTGGTTTTTTGAAATTATTAAAAGTATATTATAACACGATCTCTAGCAATTAAGAGATGTCTGTAGATTTTAGGGTTGTTGTGGTGTTAGAATTTTCTCAAGTGGAGATGGTGAGAAACTTTGTATGTGATGCTTTGCGTAATGAATTGAATGTCATTTCAATCCTAGGGTTGAGGTATTTATAAGAAATTTCTAGGTCTAGATCTTAGGCTCCTAAAAAGTAGCAACCACTTCTAGGAGTGTGGGAAGTGGATTGTGAACTCCTATATCATTTAGAAGGAACGTGATCTTCCCTTTGAACTCCCTTTCTCGTATCTTTGTGGACCGGGACACGTTACTTTCATATTCTCACGAACATGCGTGTAATTAAGGAAACAAACAACATACCCAAGAAATGAACGCTCATCTAAATAAATGGGCGGCTATGAGACTTGTGTGGACGACATGTTACGTCGCATGCCCTTAGTGGGTCTTTTGCACCTTATGGGTCATTTACAAATATACCAATACACAATACCTAAAGCATGAGAGCCTGAAAAGGACAAAGTGACTTAGTTTGCTTCCCCCTTCTTATTTGAACAAGTCCCTCATGCATGGGCGAGTCCCTCAAGCATGAGATAGACCTTCAGGTGTAAATGAGGTGAATCCTCAAACGTCAGCTGACGTAAATCCCTAAACATTAGTTGAGGTGAAAACATGTGCGATTTTAAATGCAATCGACAATGATTTAGTCTTGGGAAGTCAATTTGGCCTTAATTTCATACGCTTGTCAATGACGAGGGAATCTTTTCAACTATTGGGATGCCTAGTGAGAGGTTGTTGATTACCCATATGATTGGACTTTCCATTCTTTAAAAGGATTTCATCTTTTCCTCATTAACCATTTTTGCATTTTCATGTCTCAAGTTTCCATCCATTTTCTTAGGAGCTCTACAAGCACAGAGTGTGCGTGTTCTTAGTTCTTTAAGATATAGGTTCCTAACTTTGTTTACATGTATGATTTTTTCACTCTGTTTTCTTTTAATGGTGATTGTTAAGGTTTTTAAAACGTTAAGGAGTTGTTTAGCAATGCTAGCTTAAATTTAGAACTTTGGGCGTCATGAGAGCCATGGCAATTTTGATAGTGACTTATTGCTTCTCTTACTTTATCATGAATCAATGGTTGAGCCAAAAGCTAAATGTTTCTACGTCAAAGACTTTGTGTCTCTTTACTCTAGTGAAGAGAGGATTATTGTTTTTTGGCGGTGAAGGTTCCATAGTTTATGGATTTGCAATAGTTTTGCTAAAACATGGTTCATAGCAGGATGTTGTGTGTGATGTTGTAACATGCTGCTCAGCTCACCTTGAGAGCAGATGTCCTAACAGATGTTGGAATACCATAACATCTATTATGTCTGTTTTAATTCTTGACAAGATTTGTTTTGATTTTGTGAAGATTCCTTTTGGAATTATCTCACATATTTTGATAGTCAAGAAGATTGTATTTAGAACAGGTTTTGTATCTCCAACAGTGCAGATGTTACTAAATTGAGTCTTGAGACGATTAAGGGAACTTTGTATCTTTTGTTCCAAGATTTAAGGAGATGTATCACTTGGCTTGTGGATCAAGAAACTTCTGGACGCAAATTTCAAAGCACATGGACTGTAGAGATGTACTTAAGAAGGGATCCTAACCTAATGTAAAAAGAACGACTTTCACTTTTGTGAAATAAAGGGAGCTTTTATAGTGCAAGGAGTGCGAAGCTGTTATTTGAACATGAAAATGTTCAATATGTTTGGGTTTTTTTCTCTCCTAAAGGGGGAGTGTTGATTATGTGTGACAGGGGGAGCTATGTACCTGTCTATAGTTGGTGGTTTGCACCAGAACTATTCATGCCTCTTAGGAATGACCTAAGAAACAGTGATTGATTTTATCTTGAAGAATTTATTTTTCTCTGCAGAATGATTGTAGGGTTCAAAGGGAGCTTTATGGATGGAGGTGAGATGTCAGACATTATGTCTTGACATCATGATCAGTTTTCAACTAAGTCTGTATGAAAGAAGTAAGCTTGGAGTTCAGTGTTAATTATTGCATGTGTCTGATTGGTTCTTAGAAGGGTTCGTCATTGAAACATTTTTTTGCCCTGGGTTAGACAAATTAATTTGTGGATTCTAGTCTAAGTTTGATGATGAGTAAGTTGGTGCTCCAACTTAAATAGATTGGTAGGAATATACAATGTCAAACAGGATGTCGGGACATTGCATTGTGACTAGGTGGATCAACTAGATTTGACAAGTGGCCTTCAACGTATCAAGTTTTGTAACTAGTCATTATTGATTTTCAAGTTAGAGCTTGGAAGGCATGAACAACGTGTGCTTGTTTCTTCAAGGAAAACATCTTAAATGACATAGGAACTGCCAGTGCATTTATGAGGGTCAAAGCTTGAAAAGAGAGAAGACTGAGTTATGCAAGATTACTGAGGGTGATTTTATTCTTTTCCAAAAACGCTCTCCTTGACTGGTCTGTCGTTACTTACCAGGTTCGTTACAAGCTAGGTAACACTTCTTGTATTTAAAGACCTTCTACCTTACTTTTTCTTCAAGACGCATTTCAACATGAGTAAATCTTCTAGATGATTATGAAGATCAAGTCAAGTTCATTGGCTCTGGAGGAATTATTGGTTAGTTCGTGTGTGTTTGATGTTTTCTTTTGTTGCTTGGGTCTTGTGTTTCTGTTGAGTTTTTTGTTTTTAGCATTTGCCTCTTTGGGTGAGTCATTTTTTTGTTCTTTTTGTTGGGTTAGTGTGGTGTTCTTTTTCTTGTTTTTGGGGTTACTTTGGTGTTTGTCGTGTCTCTTTTGTCTGTTTCTACTTCTGTTATATTTGTTTGCAGAATGTCTTACAAGATGTTTTTAACATCCTGTTTGGATCTTAAGTTGTGTGTTTTGTTGTGTCTTGTGTTTTACATTACATGTGTTACTTCTGCCATATGTGTTTCTATTGTTTATGTATTCTGCCATATGTGTTTCTAGTATCTTGAATTATGACTGTGTTCAGGTTGATTTTCTTAGGCTTCAAAAACGTTTCTTCTTTTATTCTGATTGGGAGTTTCATTCCTCCATGACAAGAACTGGTTATGTGGTCTAGAGGGAGTAGATTATAAATTCATGAATATGCAGGTGAAATTCCTGAAGATGCAAGTTATCTTCTTCCTCATGTACATAGTTGTAATGGTTTTATGTAATGCAACTGGTGTTATTTTGTTTTTGTGGTTTTATTCCTCTCTCTAGGGTTTATTGTGCAAAAGGTGTTTTAGCCAAAATTTTCCAATGGGGGAGATTGAAGGTTCCATGGTTTATGGATTGGCAACAATTTTACTAAAACATGGTTCACAGCAGGATGTCGTGTGTGATGTTGTAACATGTTGCTCAGCTCACCTTGAGTGTTAGAACATGTTATACCAGAACATTTATTCTGTCTATTTTAATTTTTGAAAAGATTTGTTTTAATTTTATGAAGATTCCTTTTGGAATTATCTCACATATTTTGAGAGTCAAGAAGATTATATCTGGAATAGGTTTTACATCTCCAATGGTGCAGATGTTATTGAATTGGGTCTTGAGACGATTTAGGGAACTTTGTATCTTTTGTTCCAAGATTTAAGGAGATTTTGGTGCATCACTCAGCTTGTGGATCAAGAAACTTCTAGATGTAGATTTCAAAGCCCATAGACTGTAGAGATGTATTTCAAAGGGAATCCTAACCTAATGTAAAAAGAACGACTTTCACTTTTGTAAAATAAGGGGAGGTTTTATAGTTCTAGGTTTTGAGAGTCTCTTGTGTTGTGACTTTGTAAGTCACCCGTTGTATATTTTGATGTATCATGGTAGACATATTTAGGTTGTATATTGTTCTCATTTTAAAGCTTTTAAGCATAGGAGTAGAGTATTGTGCTTGGTTGAAGCTTTTAAGCAAAACTGAGTATTGTTCTTGGTCAAGAGTCTTGACCTAGTATTGTTCTTGAAAGAAAGAGGGTACATCTTTATTTTTGGTTTCTTGTGGCATTCCCTGGGACTGCGAGTGTTTGTTTATCGCTGCGGTGATTACGAGT